TATTTGCCTTCCCCACAGATTAATTGCTTACTACCTATCAAACATTATCTACAAATCTGACAAACAAAGATGTAATAGTATATGCCCGGCTTAAAGCTATAAGCTGAGAAATGGCAAATATTATGAAAAGAAAAAGAACCAGATTACATAAATACCCAGCGATTAATCACTTCGAAATAGATACATGCAAGATAATAAACTATGAAATGCCACAAAACTATGGTATCATGCGTCATAATATAGAAGCTGGGGAGGGACGTAACACAAGTTTTTAATTATGGTAATGTACTAAAAATGAATACCTAAGAAATCAGGTCACCTCACAGACCTTTCAATACAGCTAATAAAGCTGTCTCTTATACACATCTAGATGTGTATAAGAGACAGATGCAGCGCTGTTTCACTAAACGTCAACCAAACTCGCGTGTTTAAATATTTTCAATCCAACGTTAAACGCCTCACTAATAAATTCCTCAACAGAAATTGCTGTCATTTCTACACTTGATTGACTTCTAATAAATGATAAATTTTACAGGAAAATAAGCCAGGTATCGTCAGGGAGTATCATGTCGAACGAACAAGTGTGGCCGAGAATCATCAAGAATTTTGCATAACATTAGAAAGAAAAATTTTTCATCCATTTTTTCCCATTTACTTTCTCTATTTATTTGTGTGTATATTTGTTTATATACATCCCTCTTTCTTTTTTTTTTTTAGCAATGCTTGCTTTTCTATGTAAGAAGTGCTTTATAATTTTCTTCATTGTTATATATTTAATATTATTAATGACAATTACGTTTTTTTTTTTACATACATCTAGATCTTACAAATAAAGCCAAGTATTAGTGGTAATTCTACCTCTTGCATTGCAGACCCCAATTTAAGATATGGCTAGGGCGATGTCATTTGAATTTTGATTTGATTGCTCAACTCTTCGACAACCCTCAGATGATAGTCCCCAGGGCCTCCCAAAATTTCTAAATACTTTTTATTTGAATGAGAACTTAAAAAAGAATATAGGCCTATTAGTATTATTTGTGAAATTACTTGTAACTTCTTTTAAATGTTTCTTTTATATGGTTTTATATTCAAGTTACCTCTGTATCTGTATACTGTGTTGCACCTGGAAATAGATTTTTGTACATAACTGAAGCATTATAATTTAAATGCAGGGTTTAAAGGCAATCATCTTACCACCAAGCTACAGTTTCATTATTTAGGATAAAAATATTTGTAAATCCACAAACAATTTTATTACATTCTATTAATAAATTGTCTAAACAAAATATAAAAACATGTTTTTGTCTTTACAAGATGGACACAGCAAGCAATATTCATTGCGGATTCAGATATTTCCAATTTGACGGATGTTAAATCCAAAGTTTATACAACTGTCATCGCAAATGGTTTTCTCCTGAATTACAAGTTGTGTTTAGACACACAAACAAGATGAAATATGAATGATAGATATGATATTTAAATATTCAGAGTTCAGCGAGAGATCAGACAAGTCATGCATCCAATTTGTTTCTACATAATAATCTCCTGCTGGAGGGGTTACATGCAAGAAATATCACCTTGTGCCATCAACTAGGAAAACGTCTTGCCTCAGGGGGAGGAGGAAATATTAATGTAATGGCATTAAGTTCAAGGAGGAGAGGGAGGGAGAACAACTGTTTCATTGACCTTTTTCAGTCGGACGTGTGGTGAGAGACAGCTAGACTTTTTTTGGCCAAATATGCGGCCATTATTTTCTTGTTATCAAATAGGAAAACTTCCTCAGGGGGAAGAAATATTAATGTAATGGAATTAAGTTCAAGGAAAAGGAAGAGGATAACAACTGTTTCATTGGCCTTTTCCAGTTGGACGTGTGGTGCGAGACTAGACTTGTTTTGGCCAAACAGGCGGTCATTATATTTTTGTGCTATCAAATAGAAAACTTTTAGTCTCGGGAAAGGAGGCAATATAAATGTAATGGCATCAAGTTCAAGGAGGAGGGGGAGGGAGATCAACTGTTTCATTGACCTTTTTCAGTTGGATGTGTGGCGAGAGATCGCTAGACTTGTTTTGGCCAAATAGGTGGTCATTACTTTCTTATATATATGGCATGTCTGGCATAGGGCATAATTCAACAACATCTGGCTTGTGGTTATTTACAACCAGCAAATGGCATTCGCTGTGAAGGCATCATTCAATTGTAGTAATTGGAATTATCTGACAAACGTAAACCTATACAATGAAAACCAATCAAATTTGAGACAAAAAAGTACTAACACAAAATATCCACGAAATGTTGTCCATTAGATTGTGATTTGTGAAGAACCGTTGATCTCAATATTGTAGTTCACTTCAATGATTTAAAATGAATAACTTGGCCAAGGGGTATAAAGATATCAAAGAGCTCTGTAATATTAAGAAACAGGTCACATTCGGTATCTCCAGGCTTGCTGATGAAGACATTGCAGAGAAAATGAGTAGTGACTTCTTAGCAGACTGTAATAAATTAGTTCCTTCAAGACCGTTAAAACTTTACCCCTTATTTTGTCTGAGATTACATTTTTGCCTGCAACTTGACGCACCACCACTAATCTACTGTATGTCGGCCAAAGATGTTCTTGAATTATGGTAATGTACTAAAAATGAATACCTAAGAAATCAGGTCACCTCACAGACCTTTTAATACAGCTAATAAAGAACTTTGCTCTAGAGTTAGTATCACCCATTAGTGATAATGTATCTTCAATTAACTTGGTTACCTTTGCTAGCGGCAGGGTGTGGGAGAAGTCTAGTACAACATAAATCAGAAGAAACTCACTAAATGTGAAGCTTCCCAACAACTCCTCAAGTTCCTAAAGATATTAACTTTTTCTAAAATAATTACTTCTGCCATTTCATGAGAATGATTAGCATGTTATGCCCTACATTTGATTAATTTTGGAATACACATGCCGTATATGGGATGGAACTATATATAATTTCTTAGAAAGTGTCTAATACAAGTAGATCACCCACAAAAGAGCATCCGGTAATGTTGCTGCTCAATGCCTTTATGTGCATTGCGCAAACCTAGAGAAAGAACATGTCGTAATGCAAAAATCCAAGTGTCCACTTGGTCTCATAACTTAGTTTGTAAAGTTTCCAAATGGTAACCGGAAGGTCATGGGTTTGAATCCTGTTGGGTACATGTTTTTCTCAAATACTTATTATTACATTCCATCAGACACTGTATAATGTCCTGGAAGGAAGTTCACTGGTTACAAGTGCTTGGTTGCAGCTAAGAAGCACGAAAAGCCAGTGCCAAAATTTTAAACCTTTTGTCAAAATTATTGACTGATATTAAATAATTATGATTGTAATTATGTTGTAAATAAGTTCAAAATAATTATTATCTTTTTTGTGTGAATTTTCTTCACTATAGTATTTTAATTGTAATTTTTAGGACAGTTTGAAATATACTGTAAATGTATGCATGCTTTTTTAAAATTTTAATAAAATCTATTCATTGACTGTAAACCTTTACTCAATTTGTAATCTTTACATCATGATAATAGAAATTATAATCGCACTACTTCTAGCTGAAAAACTGAGGGTGCTATATTCTGCTTTGTCTTTTTCTAAATAAGCAAGTGGGATTAACACTAACAAAATTATGAAAATAAATAAATTAAAGTAAAATAATCTAACCTAATAAAATAAGAACAATTATAACATACACAATAAATAATTACTATAATTTATAGCATTACAAAAAAATAACAATACAACCAACTCAAAATAATATTGATGATACCATGACAAAAACAAGTAAAGCAATCAATAGTAAGTTAAATCCTACTGTTTTCAAATGCTTTATAAAAGTAAATAAACAAAAATAAAAATATTAACTAATTAACAAAAATCACAACTCTTGTTAATGATTCTAATCATGATACAGAATAATTATAAATAACAACAATAACAATAATGAAAATTTATATAGTGCACAACCTGCGTAAAAGTAAGTACGCTTATGTAACACTTATTTCACAAATCTATCAATAGGCAACTGCCTTTTATAGTTAACAAATATTTTGGGGGTTTTTTTGGTTCTATTATAAATCAAATCAGACATTTCTTCAAGGAAGTCTCCTAAATCAGGGAATAACGTTACAAAGAAACCTCTGAGGCAATGAATACAAAATAATGTGATAAAAACTCTTTGTCAAAATTTCCTGATTGCAATTTTTGGGTTCGAAGTTGAAAGTTCAATAGCTTTTTTTTATGACTAACGCAATCTTTAAGGCTACTATAGTACAGCAATAAATCATTTTAAAAGCCCCAGAAGTCATATCTGTTCCACAGGGAACAAACTAACAATGGGGATTTGTTGTTATACGTATAATTAATTGTATGTTTTCGGACACAAAATGCTCGTTTTAAGATTTAAGTGTGTACCAATGTGATTTAGCAAACATTCTAATATTTTAAACATAGATCTAGGCTCGTTAACCTGTTTAATAAACTAATTAATTGCAATAATACATAGTTATTGGTTATTAGTATACTCGACAGTGATAATAACATGTTTGTAATCAGTAGATATGTTCAGCAACAAACATTATTTCAGTAAAAAAAAAAAATTTGCAATTTTTCTTGCAATTGTTGAATTTAATTCCTATTTGTATTGTATATTATTATTTAGGTTAGGTCTTGTGCAATGTTAACTCTTTTTAATAAGAATATATTACTTAAGACTTCCAAATCATATCAACAGCGTTGTATAAAGTATATTATTATATAATCGGGCTTACAACCACAGCTGGTTTCTTAATTATTACCTTTTAAAACAACGTAATATCAGATCTTAACTAAAGGGGGTTCACCTGCTTACTGTTGGTAAAACATACTTAAAAAGTATAAACTTTCAAAAATATATATAAGATTGTCAGTTGTCAACTAGTGACTCCTACTGTAGGACTATTGCACACAAGAGGAATCACAATACAATTTGCCATACTTACATAAATCATTTGAGGGTGCGAACCAGCAGTGTAGATATATGGCGTGTATTGGTTGATGTGGCTGTAAACGGACTGTGGTATTGACCCAGATACATCAGAGGTCAGGGCCTGCGTCTAAAATGGGGGAACACACAAAACGCAAAAACCAATAAGATGCATGCGGTCTATACTAAGGAAGGATGATGGGTAAAATAATGGCTGTTAAATTCAGTCATTTTTTCTAAGGTAATAAAATGCACATACAAAAAGCATGATATAATTGTAAAGCGTTTTTGAGAAAGTTGGGTACTCTTATGAGTTGGTTGCATTTGACTGCTCAGACATGATCTTAAGGTGTTTATTAAAGTTGGCATTGGCGTGGGGGGGGGGAACATAAAGCAAGTTTTTCGAAATATTATTAAACTTTTTTTAACAAGAATTATATTTATGCATAGAGATGCAAAAGTGACTATAAAGAATATATTGTTATGAAGAGATGATTGCAAATGTCAATAGAATCAGAAATGAAAATTAACTGCATATGATGATGATGACAGTGGTGATGTTGAGGATGATGATGATGACGATGATGATGATGATGATGAAGATGACGGTGATGATGATGACGGTGATGATGATGATGATGTTGAAGATGACAGTGATGATGAAGATGACGGTGATGATGATGATGATGATGATAACGTTGACAGTGATAATCATAATACTACGATGATGATGATGATGACTGTGAAGATGATGACGACGATGGTGATGATGAAGATGGTGATGATAATGAGAACCAAGATTATTGGTGTGGTAATGGTATTGATAACAAGATAATGGCTTCAGATGATATATCAAAAGAAGCAGTAACTTTTCTCAATCAATACATGTTATTAGCTGTTTGTGTTGAATAGAAATTTATGTTTGAAGAAAAATTCTGAGAATACAGAGAGATGTGTTGGAATGTTGTTTGCTTGTGCCATGGTTAGATTTCAGTGCACCAGCAGGTTAAAGGTCAAAGGTGAGAATTATTGGAATTCAAGCAAGGAGATGAAAAACACACCAATAATTACTGAATGCATGCATGGGGATATGTGAAACCATGATTTAAAACAATTGTCCAAGCAGACGTACAGCCAAGCATGAAAAATAAATCATTCATCGAATTATACAACTATAAAAATTCTAACGAAAAAGTGAAAACAAAAAAAAAAGAGGAAAACCAAACAAATTACAAAGAAACATAAACCAAAGTAAAGTAAAGTGTATGAAAAAAAAGAGAGAGAAAAAACAAGGAAAGGAATGTGTAGTGGTATAAGCCTGCGATGATCTTCTGGTAAAAGTAAGTTTGTTTGTGGAGTCAGTGGAGATGTATGCTTCTCAGCTGATGTCTGCATTCATGTGATGTCATAGTGTAGCTAGCTTAGAGATTTATTGATATTCATTATAGAAACATTAGATGCTTAAAGCATTTGCTCATTGTAAACATTCTAATGAACATATTTCGGATGGTTGGGAGCAACAAAAAAAAAAAGAACAACTTAAGTAGGCCTCCACATGAAATCATTAATTGTTTTGGAAACTTAGGGAGTCAATATTAAATTATGAAGTATTTGTATTTGCATGGTCAAACATTTTTTTTAAAAAACTTTGGGAGCTAAATCCCGCTGAATGTAGACCACTTAATGCTATTGCAAAAAATCTAAGTTGGATTTACGATTTCATTTGGATTTTCGATTGGAAAGAAAGAAATATGAGATCTTTGGAGATGTATTTCTAAACTATGAATGAAATTCAATGTTAGCTATGCAAATTACTAACTGCACTCTTGTGCATAAAACAAAGACACTGAGCATGACGCTGGCTATTTGTTAGGGTATCAGCTTAGAAATGGAATATCGCTGTATTCATACACAAAAACCATTCGAGACGGCAAGTCCCATTAGCAACGATGTTTAGCAATAACTTCAATTGTAATTAAGAAATCATCAGATGTTCGGAGGCGATAATATTTTTCTTGACAAGAAATCATAAACTCCTAATCATCCTGATAAGAATCAGTGTTTGTTATTTGACATCAAACTAATTTGACAGAGGCTAGCTAGAATTCCTGACTTAATCATCTAATTTTAAAGCAATAAAGAAATTATTCAGAAAGCTAAGCTAATTTAAATATTATTAAATATTCATTTGATATATTTAATTATTCATTGTCAAGCATTGCTTACCAACTTCTCTATTTGTTTCCCTTTAGACTTAATAATAATTAAAAAAATATATATATTAGGAAGTTTTGATTGTGGATTCTCATAAATTTACTTCATAGTAGGTTTATTAATAGATTATCTTTTATCAATACAAGTTAATTCCAAAGCAATTTATATGCATTTCTAGGCTGTAATAATAGGGGGCGCTATATAACCCCTGAATTATTATCTTTTGTTCCAAAGAGCTAAATTATTTAAATATTAGCCAAATATTATAAATTTTATTGGAAACGTGAACAGAGGGATAAATTAAAATATAGAAAAAAAAAAAAAACCAAAAATATAGTAAATATAAATAGTGATTCTGAATAACTGATTTATTCAGAATTATATGTACT